TGTAAAACAAAAACAAAAAGCAGTAAAACAAAAGACAAACATAGAAGATAAATCCAATCTAAAAAGCAACGAACAGACAAAACTGGAAAAGCATCCTCAACCTGGTGAGTGAAATCTGTGTGAAGAAAAACTGAATGAGGTAGTCAGAAGTGAAAATGGCTTCCTGAGATAACATCCTACAATTTAGCCTTGGCCACAGAGATTTTCCCCTATATCTGCATCGGGCACAGCTTTCTCTTGTCTAACATTGGGACACCACAAATGTTTCCACAGCAAGACTTAGGGATTACGCACACTAATGTGGGAGGAGAGAAGAATCACCCAAGCTTTGCATTGTGTTTATAAACAAACAACTGGTAATCAGTGTAGTTACTCTCAAAGAAAGTCCCTAGCCGGAATTTCTAGTAGTCCTGCCGTTGGACACCCAGATTCAAGACTAAATCCAGGAGTGGGAAACCAAACAGCAAATATTAAATCAGTGCTGCATCACATGCACTCTCTTTCGTTTAATTCAAGACCCCAATGAAATAGTTAGATATCTGTTCCTATACTTAGATGCTTACAGGTTAAGACCTTTTTCAGATATATTTTTCATTATATTAATTTAGTTCTAGATGTTGTTTGGCTTCTAAACTATTGCTGTTGTTATTTCGATATTATGTCCCATGAAACCTGTGTTAGCTACATCTTTGTTTTAAAATGAAATGTTATTTAAACTGTCCATGTATTTTTATTATAAACTGTAAAATTTGCTTACCTCTCTAACTAAATGAATTAGCTTTAAGTGATTATCTGACTTGTATTGCCATGAAGATTTCCAATTTTTATTCTTCATCTACTTTTTTTGAATATTTTTGCAAACAGTATTGTCTCCTGCTTCATTTCACTGTTAATCCATCTTTTTTTCTGCATTATAAAAATAGTGTACTAATTAAGAACATAAGAATTTAAAGCAGTTGCTTCTATATCAGACAGAAGTACCTTCTACAGTTTAACTATCTGTTGTGTAAAGAAGTACTTTTCTTTTTCTGCCATGTTATTGAATGAGATTGTCTGAGATATGAGCCATACAATGCACTTTGTACAAGACTGTGCTTGAAAAAGATCCAGAAAGTGCAGCTGGTTCAGAGATCAGTGCTTCCTCCTCCTAACTTGCAGTTCTGGCTGCTGGTCAATCTAGAGACTGCTGGTGTTAACCTTGGACTCACTAACATTTCTAAAGCACATTTGATCCACATGTAATATTTATCCATATTTTGCCTGGGCCTAGCATATTCTGCAATTTGGAACTACCTTTAACTTAGCTTCTGTATGGTTTAAATGATGTGATCGTGGCTTCTTCTTTCAGTCCTAAATTAATTCGTCCATCCTAAACAATGAGTTATGATTTAGTTGCAAATCAATTAACTCTTATGTGTTGCTTCTGGAGACTGTTTTTTCTCTTTTCATAAAAAGGGGTATTTTTTTTCTCATAGCATCTCTAATAATTATTTTCAGTAGCTAGTATTTTACATAGTGGTTGGATAGAAATGTTGTAATTTCTATCACAGCTCCAAGGTAGTTTGTGTGTGTGTGTGTGTGTGTATGGGGAACCAAAATGATTAGAAAGCTAGAAGAGTTCCTTAAAGGGAAAGAAGACAATTATTGTAGCAATTCATAGAAATATTATTATTTATAAAGTAATATGTATACATTTCTATTAAATATTGGGGGTTGATATATCTATATGATCTATATATCTATATGACCTGGGTGTGCATTGTTTGTTCTTAAGCAATGTTAATATTTTAAATATTTTATAAACTTTTACACAAGTTATAAAATACAGAGTGTGGAGAACTATTTTTATTGCCAATTTTAGTATTTTGTCCCATCAATAGGTCTTCCTCCAACATATTAACCTACATTTTGGTACAATTTAAACAGGACAGGATCTTCATACATTATATGTCAATGTTTGTGAGCCAATTCTATATAAGACAGAGTAATTCAGTCAATCCCGTTATATAGGTTTTATGCATTTGTTTACCTAGGATTATACAATGTACATATCATACAGGAATTCTCTAGAGAATATTTAAAAAATATTGAAACTGTAATCTGGTGAGGAGCAATTAGCTATTCTTTTTCAAAATGTGTCGTGTCAGGGCAGTGCATATCTTATTAGGAAATAAAATTGAGAAATAAAATCCAGGTATTTACTAATGTTGTAAAATGCTAAGTAATAATCAATCTGAAATTTTTGCAACCAAGTAATATTTTTTCTTAGTAGATTATATTTCTTTAAACATTTGCTTGTTCCCAGGCCTAGACATTTCCTGACTTTTGTTAAGATTCAGTGTCTAATTGAGAGAGGATGTGAATACACCAAATGACATGGTGTAATTCACATGAAGGAAGTCTACTGTTTTGATGTTTATAAGCTCCATATGCTCGTTGTTTGTACTTTGATAAGAGCATTTTTGGTACACAGAACAAACCACAAGATTCACTACATAATGCTGTACAAAATTTATGCATCTTTTATGTGTCAGAAAGGACTGAAAAGGCAAGAAGGGGGTTGTGTTGTATACCAATCAGTGTGACTTGCTGTTTAATACTTTTAATTTAACTGAAGAACTGAGATTTTTTTAGAGTTAAATACATGGTACATAGGGGATAGATACATTAAGTGGTTACGTATTCCACCCTTCTCAAATAAGCATAAGGATGATCTCTCTCTTTCTCTCATTTGGGCACAGCAATTTAATCAGTTTATGCTTTCAACAGATTCTTTATAAATTGGGTGGATGAGTAAACTGACTTGTCTTTGATGCTTCCTCCTCAAGAATATCCCCATTAGCTACTGAGGTCTAAGCTCTGAGGTCTAACTGAGGTCTAAGACAGGTTTTCCCGCCCCAGAATGATGGGTAAGATTTATTAGTGTCCATGATAAGTTGATAAGTCCAAGCAGTCATATGGTTTGTTCCATTTCTGTTAATCCAAGTGAGAATAGAGTTAACATTGACAGAATTCTTAATCTATTCAAAGTTACACAACACAAAATAGCAACACTTTAAAAGTATCTAGTATAGAAGGATGCCTTCCACAGTTTGAAGATAATTAGTTGATCCTACTTAATCTAGGCTCCCAGGAATAGTGATAAAAAGCCTAGAGAGAGGGAGTAGACTATGGGAACTCCTCATCCCAATTCTGAAATGAATTTGCAGGGTAAATGATAAAAGACAGATATACTCCGTCCTATTTACACATGTGTATGATTTAATGAGAGAAAGTGGAGTTTGCATATGCAGGTGTGCAATACTGTTTTTGTCATTCCCCTCCCTTTCAAACATTACTGGGGCTAGCAGCATTTGTGAACTACCTAATCACTTACTAATAAGTAATAAACAGGCAGCTACCTAGTTCAGAGGTGGTGCTCAGCAGGTTCTGATCAGTTCTGGAGAACCAGCAGTAGAAAGTTTGAGTAGTTCAGAGAACTGGCAAATCCCACCTCTGACTGGAGATTTTACAGTATCCTTCCCCTGCCACGCCCACCAAGCCACGCCCACAGAACCGGTAGTAAAAAAATTTGAATCCCACCACTGACCTAGTTACTTATCTCCTAAATCACAGGTAACATACAACACTAGTGGCACACAGTGCAATTAGTGGCAAAAAAAAAAAAGCTTTTTTCCTCCTGACCATGTCTGTAGGTTTCCTGATTACATCTGATCAACTGGGTCACAGAGAATATTGCAGGCGATCTAGCAGAGCTCTTCTGAGCTCCTTGTGATAGCTAACCAGGGTTTCAAAAATATGAGCTTTGCTAATAAGGTTCGTTGGTACCAAAGAAGTGATATCTGTTTGTATCTGTGTAAAGATTGCTCTAAGTGCATCCATTTTTGGTACTGTGACTGTGCAGACCTTTGAAGTGCTGCTTTATTTTGAAGCCATTTTCAAGTTGCCTGTCTCCTTGAAGGGCAGAATTAGAGTGGCTTAACCTCCTGGATCTGGATGCTAAACAGGCTTCTGTGCAGCACCTATTTCCACCAAAATGGTGGACCGGACTAAATCAGCCCCTTCACATTCACCTGTCTCATGTTTTTATCTGTTTTTTTTGTCAAATAGATATTACAGGTAGTCCTCAACTTACAACAGTTCGCTTAATGACCGTTTGAATTTATAACAGCAGAGAAAAAAGTGACTTATGACGATTTTTCACGCTTATGTTGTAGCAGCCCTATGGTCATGTGATTTATATTCAGATGCTGGACAGATGGTTTCATATTTATGACAGATGCAGTGTCCTCAGGTCATGACATCCAGGGGTGGGATGCTACCAGTACTGCCTGGCTCTATAGAACCGGTAGTTCTGAAGAGCAGCAGACACCAAACCGGTTCTGTGTCTGCTGCTGTTTTGGCCCACCCGCCTGCCCAGGCTCTTACCTGACCTTTATTTCCTGCTTTTTCAACCTCACCTGCTTTGCGTGGCACAGCTGAAGTTGAAAATGCAGGAAAAAAGAGGCTTTTCGAATGCTGCGCACCTGCGCGCAGTGCTTTTCAGCTGTCCGGGCAGCACAGCTTAAGGTTTTTTACACACGCGCGTAGCGTGCATCAGGCATGTGTGCGCATAAAGCGTGCATGCGCGCGTAAAATGTAAGTCACCGAACTGGTAGTAACACCGGTTGAATCCCACCCCTGATGTCATCCCCTTTTGTGACCCTTTGACAAGCAAAGTCAATGGGGAAGCCAGATTCACTTAACAACTGTGTTACTAATTTAACAATTGCAGTGATTCATTTAACAATGCTGGCAAGAAAAGTCATAAAATGGGGCAAAACTCACTTAACAATTTTCTCATTTAGCAACATACATTTTGGGCTCAGTTGTGGTCATAAGTTGAGGACTACCTGTATTTGAACGCTGTCTTTTAAATCTATTCCTGTTTCAATTGTATTTTAATTGTTTTCCCTATTGTCAGTTTTATTGACCTTTTGAATGTGTCTCGTGTTTTTCAGGGAGGAAAGTCCTACACTGGACCATGTGCAGGGAGAGACTGCAGTGGGGGCTGTGAATGTTTTCCAGAAAAAGGAGCTCGTGTGAGTACCAGCATCCTGTTGCATTAAAAATCCTATTATTTTAATGCATTAGGGTTTTTTAATCACTGAAATTGGAAAAATTGGTATAGAAGTCTGGAATTAGATATTAATGGGTAGAATTAAAATGTAGATTGTTAGATCTGGAGGAGTGGGCGCAATAACGGAGACGAGGCATCGATAGTGACTCAACTCAACTCTTTAATAGTGACTTCAGAACAGGACAACAACTAGGGCAGCAGCAGCTCTTTTATAGAGCTGGCTGCTGTCACAACAACCAATGAGATTGAATTAACCGCTCTAAAAGCGTCCAATCAGAGACGGCCCGCTGTCAGCCAATCAGGTCAGCCAGAGGCGGCCAATCACGATTCACTTACCCACGGGCCAATCAGAAGTGCAGGATTACGAGCCTGCTGTTTAAGTAAAGCTAGTATGGTTACTGATGAATGAGTTTGTTTAGTTCGTAACATAGATGAACCAATCCCAGACATGCAGATTAAATCTTTTTGAGAGAAAACAAAATAAGATGGAGCTGGACTTTCACACCTCTGTAAAATACTCATTTATCAGAAACCACAGGTAAGTTTGTCTCTTGAATTTACAAGGTTCATTGTTGCCTTTTCTTCTATTAAATCCTTGGGGGATGAATTCATTTTGAAATAAAGGATGTAGAATATAATTTTTTACTCTTCAAAATTAAGATATGCTACATATTGGTACTCTGTTTTTCGGAATGCCAATTTCCCAATTTTATTTTAATTGCAAGTATTTTAAAAGGCAAGAATCTCGATGGGAGCTAAAGTGGAATCTGGGGCCCATTGAGGTCCATGGACCTCATGTTGCCACCATCTGTATTAATGATCTTGGCTGGCAGGAGTGCCCACACAGGGCGTTTACTGCTTGTCAGAATGTTCACTAAGCTTGCTTTGATTTGCTTTTTCTATAAATATCAGTTTTCAATACATAGTGATGATATATGACACATATTCATATATCACTGGAAATAGAGTTTTTCCATTAATTTAATAATATTTATATGTCCTTATATGTCAAAATAAAAATCTGAATATTTGTTGAAGAAATCATGTGACCATATTATCAAATACAGGTATTTATTACAGTGTGACCTTATTCACCTTTAATAAAATAAATTTGACTTAAGTATGTATGATGATGATTATGAAGATGATGGTGATATCCATTCAGTTGTGTCCGACTCTTGGCAATTCTATGGGCCAGATCTTTTGATTGCACTACTTCTTTGAGTTTTCTATGCTCAGGCTGGTGTCACTTTTGATGGTGTCCAGCCACCATGCTCTTTGATGGCCTGGTTTCCTTAAAGTTTGCATACACCTTCCTGTTACATTACAAATGTAATGAAAGAAAAAAATAAAGTTCTAATAGAATTAGTTTTTATTATCAGAAGGTCCATTGTTATTTTTAGAAATTTATCTGGAGCGTGTTTCTTGACCAAAAGTCAGTTTAGCTGTTGAATATCATTAACACACAAAAAAAACCTGTTTTGTTCTTAAAAATAAATAAGAGTTTCCTATCAGAACATTTAAACATTATCATTAAAGATAAATAATCTTAATCAGGAAGAAACATTTCAGTGTCACTTCCTTAATGAAGAAATAATACAACAATGAATGAGGTCATTAGAGGTACTGGCATTAAAAAGCAAGACAAAGAATTTTCAGATGTTACCCTATTTTTGAAATTATTGTGCTGTTCTTATTCTAAAACTATTAAATAAAGCATTCTGGGGCTCTGAGAATATATATTTTTAAAAGTTTAATGTTGAAATTCCTCAAATTCACACTTGCTATGTATGTTGATATTTGTAGATCTTTTATACATGCCTTTTAATGTTGCTTGATTCCTTTTATGTTTGTTTATCTATTACAAAGAGCAAGGTATCCTCTGGGTATATTCCCTTTATAAATTAGGAAAATAAGTCAGATGACTGAGGGAAAAATACAATTTGTGTGATTTACTACAAAGATTTACTACAAAGTGGGAAGTTTAAGAAGTAGTGGAAACCCCTTTTAAAATACTGTTTGAATTACTAGGTTATATAGTTATTCTTTCAACAATATTTATGTGAGGAAAAACTTTCATCTTCCATATCAGGATGCAGAGATCTAACTGACTGAGGAAAACTTTTTAAACTTAATTTTCTCAATACTGTGCATATTTTGATGGAACACAATCCCTAGCCTCTGATCATCTCAGGTTTTAGTTTCTGAAGCCCCAAAGGAAATGGGGAGGGGGAATGAGCTGAGATCACAGATGTTGGGGGGTGGAAAAGGAAACCCTTCCTGATAGCATTTGGCAAGAAAGGAAATACAAGAGGAGATATGTTTTGTTTTGTTTGTGGGTGGGGTATAACTTACAATGTTTTTTAGTGTATTCCAACTTATTTAATATCACTGACTTCCTTCTCTCTGAAATTTGTCCCTGAAAACTCCAGTAGTGGGATTCGCTTATCAATTCATTTTGCATCCAGGCTACAATCTACATAACTGTGGAGCCATGCCAATTCAGATGATACCAACAGGCTGACATAATACCAGATATAATTGTCTCAAAGGACACTGCATAAATGTACACAGAATTTCAGCAATAGATTGGTTTATCAATATGTATTGCTTCTTAAATCATATCTACTGGGATTAATTTGTCCAGAAAATCTCTCTGCCTTAGTAGGCAGAAGCAGAATAAATGTCTATCAAGAGAGATAGTTATATGATTTTGGGACTTGTACAAAACAGGAGTGGGTGGGTGTCTATCTTCTTGTGCTTCCCATGGGCATTGAGACTCTTGAGGTTCAGAGAAACTGAATAAGGATATTTAAACATTTGAATAGTTTCTTCACAACTATTTCCTTGAGGAGAATCTAAGAGGAAACACAACCTCTGGCGGCATGGGCTGCCATCCCATTTCTGTTTGCATGTACATAACCCTTACAGAGTTATAAGAGGGAGCTGTAAATGTGGATTGAGGTACTAAAAGGGCTTCAACATTTAATAATACTGGTTAAGGACGCCAAAATTATTTTGCTCAGTATTTCTATTCTCCTCCCCAAATGATTTTAGTAAATGCCATGTAAATTAAACTACTGTAGAATTTAATCCCATTGGAAGAGGTGATTAGCTGGACAGTCTGGAACTCTGCCGTATCAGGGCTTCTTTATCTAGCTTTTAGAAGAGTGAGTAAATGGAGGATAACAGATAACAGATAATCAGAGTTGGAAGGGACCTTACAGATCATCTAGTCCAACCCTCTGCCCAAGTGGGAGACCCTACACCATTTCTGACAAATGGCAGTCCAATCTCTTCTTGAAAGTTTCAAGTGATAGCATTCCCACAATTTCTGAGGGCAAGCTTCCAAGGAGAGTCATCAAATGCCAGAAGATGCCATCTTGGTCGCTGGGCAAACTATTCTAATCAAATTTACTCAGCTTATTGTAACCTTTTAAGACCTGTAGGATTGTTTTGATTCTTTTCCATTCATTTGCAACATCTTGGCAGTGGATTGATTTTTAGGGCCTTTATTACCAGTTGTTTCTCAAGACATCATGGCTGGCATCAAAGTCGTGAGACTGATTCAGTATACTTCTGTCCAAACACACTTGACAAATCATACATCTAATTTGATATTGGATGACCTATGGGTAGGAGACTTTATATAGATCTCTTGGCATAGAAAGGAAGTTATTTAGTGAGCATATCACTTAGTAGTAACTTGGAACCTCTCTAGAAAAGGTCCCAAACTCCAGAAGTTATTGAATCCTATGTGTATTTGGAAAAATTCTTAGTGAATCAACCATCTATATTGTACCATATATATTGCACCCCTAATTTATTTTAGGAAATAAGAATTGATTAGGATTGCTGATTCTATTTACCCTAACTCCACTCCATCAATTTCCTGGATGACAGAGTTGATGAACATGAAATGATTGGAACATAGATTAAATGGGTAAATCTGATGGAATTTATTAATTCATTTATCAAATTTAAGTACTGCCCATGTTATTGACTTAGTGACTCTTGGCAATAGTAAACCATAGTAATTTTGTGAGCAAAAAATGAAATTGTAGTTTACAGACAACACTGCTTCAGAATATACAATAGTTAAGAATTATTTAGGATAGCAAAAATTTGGATACAGCTCTTGGCAAAGCTTTGCAGAATTGTGGGGGTGTTAGAGGACTGGAGAAGAATAAATGTGGTTCCCTTCTTTAAGAAAGGAGAATTCCAGGAATTAGCCAAGGGAACAAGATTGGGGTTGAATTTGGACAGATGGAAAGAGTAGACTTGAGAGGAACAAAATGTCGTTAGCAAGGAGAAAAGTAAAGTATTACATTTGGGGTAAAAAAAATATGGATCACATAATACGGGGGATTATACCACATTGCTGTAATGCTTTGTGAGAATGATCTTTGGAAACAGGAGGAAATACCAAGAGGAAATACCACAGACAAGACAATGGTCAGAAAAGTGACCATGTGATGTCACCCTTTACAACCAAGTCACTTAGGGATGCAGATTCTGCTCCGAATAACTATTGCTTAGCGAAGACTAGGTGTATACAATATTTCTGGAATGTTTTTACGTATTCTTATAAAATAAAATTACAATTTGTTTTATATAGAAATAAAATATTTTAGATAAATTCTTATAAAATGTGATATGAATAAATAAATGTATTTTCTTTTAAATTTTTTATGATTCTTTTTAAAAACACTACAGTTAATTTTTTTTTAAAAAATAGCTGTAAATTTGTAAGAACTAAATGATTACTTTAAAAATAGCAATATTTCTTTTAAAAGCTTAGCTATTAATAATACAATAAATACACTGAATAACTATGTAAGTAAATTGCATAAAGTATTATTTACTTGACATAACAACCCCAAGCAGTTTTGTACTATTTGTAACAATCACAATAATAAATCCTTCCCAAATGTTTCAGAATATCTATAAATAAAACATAAT